ATCATATGTTGCACCCGAGTTACTTAGAGGCAATAACACAAAAAACACAAAAGAGACGGATATCTATAGTGTTGGAATGTTAATGTGGGAAATATTTGCAGACCACCCACCATTTGATGATAGAGCTCACAATCATCGTTTGATTTTTGATATATGTGCAGAAGATTTACGGCCACCAACATTACCTGGAATGCCTGATGATTATGTACAGATGATGCAGAGGTGTTGGGACATGGATCCATCAAAAAGACCAACGAGTAGAGAGCTTTGGACATTTGCTAGAAATAAACGTAACGAAATTATTAAAAATAATACTGGTAATCATATTACTAGTAGTGATAGTGGTGCTTCACAACAAGCACACAAATCACATCAAGATGCATATCAAACAAGTAGAATTTTGGATGAAGAGATTGCTAAATCTAAAAGCTTGAAAAGTTATACAAGTAATGATAGTTCATTAAATGATCTTGATTTTAACTCTTTTCTATTGAATGTCAACAATGGTGAATAAAATTTTCATTATTAATTAATTAATTGAAACTTATTATCCATTGATTATTGCTAACAAGATTAATCAATTGATTATAAACATTAGATTATAGTAATAATAGTAAAAGAAAAGATGCGATAAATGACTAATTTAATCTCCACTACAAATTTATTATTATCTTTTTTTATTTTATCATTATTTTGTTTTTCAAAGCTAAATTGTAATAATGTTTTGAAATAATAAACTTTTTACAATTTCCTGATTCTTGTTAAATGGTGATATTGCGAGGTATCATTTTAACTTTTGTTACTCTTGTCAGTTAATTGCACATAATTCGATGCTTGTCAATTAGTTAGTTTATGAATTTACTTTGGTTCTCTCTTTCTTGAACCTAGACGAATATGTTAATGGTACCAGATAACTGTAAATAAATAAAAATGGCCCTTTTGCAATGCTATAAAGTTCATTTTATTCGCTTGTGATTGATTTTTTTCAGTTGTTTACTCTCATCACTTTCAGTCCCCTGACACCTCTGTATCCAACTAATATTCACCTTTATCGTGCAGTCCACCTATAATTTTTATAACAAATATATAAAATAACATTAGAGATTCTGTAATTATGACATCACGAAGTGGCACCATAATCAACATGACATTTTTGCTCGACTAACCTATGACTAGTACATAGTAGATACTAATGTTGTTTGCCAAAGTTGTAAAAACTATTATGTCAAATTCGCTGTCATTAAGTCAAAAATGACACAAGTAAATTGCTTTAAAGGCTAATAAAACCTAAAAAAACTTATAAATGTATATTCCAAGATCTTTTTTTTCTTGAGTCTCCTTTGCTTCATCGGTTGTTTCCAAGGAGCTAAGTTTTTCTTTTATAGAATAAAAATTCAGTTCACACACACTCAAATCATTGATGATTCAGCATTTATGTTCCAAGGTCAACTAATTTTAGTGTAATTATTGTCAAATGAAATTTACGCAAAAGCTTTTTATAATTATTGTGTAAATAATTATAAAATCAATATTGATTGATTAAGTTACTTTGCAATAATAAACCCATCTTTATCTTTATCCTTATTATAGTTATCAACGAAAAGGGTAACTTCTGGTCTTCACTTGAAAAAGCATAACTTCGGTTCTTGCAAAGAATAATTAATGTAAACTCTGATAGAAATAAATAAAATTAATCGTTAATAAACTTTTAAAATAAAAATAAGAACATTGTCTTTATTTTCTTTGTTTAAAGCATTTTGATAAAATCAACAAATGTAGTTGGTGCCTTTGTAAAAGGTAACAATCGCAGAGCTTTGGTAAAAAATCACGTTTATTTGCTTTAGTGAGCAAGCAAGCAAGGTTATGACTAATGTTGTGTGTTAATTAGTGTTGGTTGCCAAAACTATTTTAAAGAGGCGAAAGTCAAAACTAAAAT